ACTATGAGAATAAGAGAATATAGAATACTCCTGTGTTTGCGCATACACTCGGGGATTATAATCCTGTCCTATGCAGATGGTTAGTCTACAGTTGAGACTGGCCGCCGTGACTGAAATCGGTCTGCAGTACATTACTAAATTATTATAAAGACCACTGCGTGACGTGGGCCTCCTCTCTTTAGGATGGTTTGTTTTAATCGCCACGTTTGGATGACGGATCTGCGACATATTTTACGCCGCTCCTCGATGCCCGTCTAAATATCATACTGAATTGTATGCTGCCACCACACGCCCAGGGTATTGGTTTAGAATGATTCAATCTGAGAGAAAAAAATCCTGAGTCTAATGGATCAATATATGCATGTTTCCATTATACACCCATCTCTTATAGCTTATCAAAAGTCTACTTCTGAACATGGCTGTCCTCCACAGATTGCGTTAAAGGGAGATGGGTGTTTGTTATGGGAGTTATTTTAATTTTTATATGAATATTTATCTGTTGCTCTACCCATAGCTCTTACCAATCTATAAAATGAAGCTGACAGAAAGCTATTATGGCATTAAGCTAACCATTGTACAACAAAAAAAAATTGTGCAATGGTCTTCAATTGTTTTATTATAGCATGTCATCGTATACTCTCAGTATATGACGTTTTAATTTATCTTTTTAAATTACAAGCATTTTTAACTATAAGTTACGAACCGTTTTCGTTACGAAGAAGGTCAAATTGAAACTATAAAAATGTAGATTGAGAGAAAATATAGGTAGTATGGCTGAATTGCGAATGAATTATTTTGGTTTGAAGACTATGTTGTATATTGTCAAGAAAGGTTTGATGGATGCAGCTACCGAAGTGTGTGGTGTAAGTAAGAGAACGAATGATAGGAAAGATATAATGAAGTCAATCTCATTTTTTGTCGAACCGTCGGGGCTCGACCAGGTCCACTTCCTGTGGGGCCGCTTCTGGAAGAAAGAGTTCATCATAAAGAGTCCCTCTTTCTCCATGAAGTCGACCAGCTGCTGGCCCCTTGGGTTCCGTTGCCCTATTCCAAATTTCCCTACTTTCAGCTCACCGTTCTCTCTTGTGCCTAGTTTTGCATTGAAGTCTCCCATTAACACCGTATATTGGGTTTTGGAGGAATGCATGGCTCTAGAGATATCCTCATACATTTCCTCCACCTCCTGATCGGGGTGTGCCGAGGTTGGTGCGTAAACCTGTATGACCTTCAGCGAATACCGTTTGGTGATTCTGAGTATAAGGTACGCAACCCTCGTCGACACACTCCCGATCTTTACAACGTTGTTAACGAGAGACTTGTGGACGATAAAAAACGATTCGGATTTATGACAATTTAAATACAATGTAGTAACTTAAGTTTTTACATTCAATATTCCATAAGAATACCAAGGTATTCCATAAAAACTGGATTAAACAGTCTGCCGATATCTATATAATTATATTTGTCTGTACTTGTCCTTTATAATTTAATAGAAATCTGTCTGTATCCGCATTCTGAGTTTTACGGCCCTGAAGACAAGTCAGAAGAAAAATTTGTTTGATCCACAAAGGAGATGAATTTCATTTCATACAAGCTTGGGCCCGGCGTGAACAAATTTCAAATATGTTACATTTTGAGGATTTAAAAATTTGCTACTTATGTCAAAAATTATATTTTTCCAGGACCTCAGGTTTTGTTTTTATATTTTATATGATTTGTAGGTTATGTAGTAAAATCACTCGTTCTTGTGATAAATTGTTTGAATAAATTGAAAAGGACACAAAAGAATGCAGTCTTGTAGTTATTATTAAATAAATTAAAATAAACCGCGACCTATTTAAATTATTTCATTATTTTCTGCAATAATTAATTACAATATGTCATCTAGAAAAGCAGCAGGAGTCGGTACATTGTCAGTTCTATTCCTCTCATTACCCAAGTACCACATTGTTGTCATTATGTGGGCACAACAACCTACTATCTTGTAATCCAAGAGAAAAGCCAAGGGTCAAATTAAATAAATCCATGAACGTAAAAACATCAAATATATACACAAACATAGACACAATGCCAAATTGCCAGATGCACATGACACATAGATTACTGTATAAAGTATATACGAGTACTAGAGACATGACAAGTTGAAACTCGAAGTTACCAAGTTTCCTTTGGATCATACAGCCTATTCAGTCGTGTCAGTTCTGTCAATAAATTATTAGTAGCAGCGCGGAGTCAAGATCTTGGCAATGTTTCAGCACCGTGCTGGAAAACACGTAAAACCGTTGGTTCTGGGCCTGATATCATTCCGATTATATCACACTATGAGAATAAGAGAATATAGAATACTCCTGTGTTTGCGCATACACTCGGGGATTATAATCCTGTCCTATGCAGATGGTTAGTCTACAGTTGAGACTGGCCGCCGTGACTGAAATCGGTCTGCAGTACATTACTAAATTATTATAAAGACCACTGCGTGACGTGGGCCTCCTCTCTTTAGGATGGTTTGTTTTAATCGCCACGTTTGGATGACGGATCTGCGACATATTTTACGCCGCTCCTCGATGCCCGTCTAAATATCATACTGAATTGTATGCTGCCACCACACGCCCAGGGTATTGGTTTAGAATGATTCAATGTGAGAGAAAAAAATCCTGAGTCTAATGGATCAATATATGCATGTTTCCATTATACACCCATCTCTTATAGCTTATCAAAAGTCTACTTCTGAACATGGCTGTCCTCCACAGATTGCGTTAAAGGGAGATGGGTGTTTGTTATGGGAGTTATTTTAATTTTTATATGAATATTTATCTGTTGCTCTACCCATAGCTCTTACCAATCTATAAAATGAAGCTGACAGAAAGCTATTATGGCATTAAGCTAACCATTGTACAACAAAAAAAAATTGTGCAATGGTCTTCAATTGTTTTATTATAGCATGTCATCGTATACTCTCAGTATATGACGTTTTAATTTATCTTTTTAAATTACAAGCATTTTTAACTATAAGTTACGAACCGTTTTCGTTACGAAGAAGGTCAAATTGAAACTATAAAAATGTAGATTGAGAGAAAATATAGGTAGTATGGCTGAATTGCGAATGAATTATTTTGGTTTGAAGACTATGTTGTATAATGTCAAGAAAGGTTTGATGGATGCAGCTACCGAAGTATGTGGTGTAAGTAAGAGAACGAATGATAGGAAAGATAACACGTTTTGGTGGGATGATGAGGTACGGATGGAAGTTGAAGCAAAGAAAAAAGCATGGCTAGATTTACTAGCAACCAAGGCTAATAATTCTAGCGGTATGAATGATGATATTGAAAGGAAAAAGGCAGTCTTTAGACATCTAAATAAAAGAGTAAAGGAAGTAATTGCAAGGAAAAAGCATGACAGAACGGATAAGAATGATAAAAGAATATCGGATAACTTCCAGGAAAACATTAAATTGTTCAGGCAACTCGTAAGAACTGCCAGGGGACATTCAAAACAGCCTAGAATGAATGCTATACGAGACCAGAATGGCTGCATGCTGAATGATGAAGTTTAGAATTTAAAGCTATGGAAGGAATACTTTGAAAGCGTGTTTAAGAGTGAAGAATCGTCTAAAGTAAGTGAAATAGAAATTCCGGAAAAAGTGGAGAGAGGTAGGGAGATAAGTGTAAATGAAAGGGGTATGAAAGTGAACGCAAGTAACACGAAAGTGATGGTTTTTTGAAAGAGAAGAAAGTAAAACGTTATGATGGTAGATATGATAAGGATATAGAACGAAGTTTTGAGTTTAAGGAGTTGGAAGGAATACTTTCAAAGCGTGTTTATGAGTGATGAGACGTTTTAAATAAATGAAATAGAAATTCTGAAAGAAGAAGAAATATATAGAGACATAAGTATAGATGAAATAATGAAAGCAATGAAAAGTATAAAAGCAGGTAAGGCAGCCGGATATAATAGAGTATCTCTCGAAATGCTAAGGGCTGGAGAATGAGTGGCGGCAGACCTGCTGTACACCTTGTTCAATTTATGTTGGGAAATTAAGCGGGTACCGGTAAACTGGTGTGAAACCGTAATAGTCCCAATATATAAAGGAAAGGGATCACAGCAGGACTGTAAAAACTACCGTGGTATCAGCCTTCTTAGCATTGTGGGAAAACTGTATGCTAAGGTACTAATTGAAAGAGTTATGAAAGAAACTGATGTAAAAATTTGAGATGTGCAAGCGGGATTTAGAAAGAGAATGGGATGTACAGATCAGGTCTTTTCCATGCGCATGATCGCGGAGAAGTTTTTGGCCAAAAACCAAAAAGTTTTTGTGCGTTCGGACTTGGAGAAGGCTTATGACAGAGTGGACAGGGATGTGTAATGGCAAACACTGAACTCATTTGGGTTGAGCGCTGGGTTGATACAGGCATTGAAGTCTCTATATAGGGACTCTAGTGCTTATGTCAGGATCAACGGGGCGTACTCGGACTGGTTTGGCATGCATAAAGGTGTCAGACAGGGCTGTGTGGCTTCCCCGTGGCTGTTCAACCTATTTATCGACAGTTGTTTGGAAAATTTGAAAGTAGAAGAATGCGGTTTAGGAATTGGTGAGTTACCCGTCAAATGCCTTTTGTACGCCGATGAACAAGTCATAGTTGCGTCGTCGGCGGCCGAGTTGCAAATGATGGTTACATTAATGAACAGGACATTAAAAGAAAAGGGAATGAAAGTGAACGCAAGTGAGACAAAAGTTAGAGAAGAAAGTAAAACGATATGTGAAATAAGAATAGAAGGGGAGTTGGTTGAGCAAGTAGATGAGTTTGTGTATTTGAGATTTTATGTTGTGGGTAGTCTAAAAATATTATATATTAGGAAACCGCCTTTATTAATAAAGACAGTTGTCATCTGAACTCTGTTGTTTCATTGTAACTACATGGTGGCAGCGGTTAAAATACCTAAATAGTTTTGGATTTTACGTTTGAATAACGTTTATTTGTATTCTAAATTAAGTGTAAAGGATGGAGCATGCAAGACCGCCAACCGAATTGCCGTCAACCGTCGGCCGGGCTGACGCATGGAAGCGGTGGAAGGCACAATTCAACCTTTTTCTTAAAGCATCGGGGGTGCACAAAGAAGAGGGAAGCATACAGGCGAGTTTGCTCATTAATCTGATTGGATCAGATGGATTTGATGTTTATGAGACTTTTACATTCGATTCAGAAGGGCAACGTGAGGACATCGAAATATTGATGAAAAAATTTGACGAGTATTTCGGTGTTCAATCTAATATAACATTACTGAGATATAATTTTTTTACGAGGTATCAAGAAACTGGAGAATCTATTGATCAATATGTAACAGCGTTAAAGTTACTCAGTAAAAACTGTGAATTTAAAAATTTAGAGCAAGAGTTGATTCGCGACCGTATTGTGTGCGGCATAAGGAGCACAATTGTAAGGGACCGGTTGTTACGGACGGATGAATTGACTCTGGAGAAAGCAATTAAAATATGTCAAGCTGATGAAATGTCAACAGACAGCAAGCGTGTGATGGAAACAGGTAGCTTCGGCAGTTCGGCGAGCTGTGGGCCCGTGCGCGTTGAGGCGCTGGCGATGCGCGGTGGCGAGCGGCGCGGTGGCGGACGCAGCGGCGGGCGCGGCGGCCGGCACGGCGCGCGAGCTGCGCACGGCGGGACCGCGACGTCGCCTTGTCCGCGTTGTGGTGCTCAGTGTACTGATGTAGATTCATGTCCAGCTATTTCGGTGAAATGCTATGTGTGCGGTAACTACGGCCATTACGCTAGGATGTGCAAATGTAAAAATAGTGTTAAAAAAATGTATGAAATAGAAGTGAATACAGAAAAATCTAATAATGATGATTGTGAGTCGTTTTATGTATCTGTGTTAATGGACAAAACGCAGAACAAAATCGGCGGCGATGACTGGTACGAGGTATTAAGAGGTGAGTGTGGCTTTGAACGTTTTAAGCTGGATACCGGTGCCGACATTATTGTGTTATGTTATAAGAGATTTTTAACGCTAGGGTTTGACACAGAAATGATATGCAATAATAATAAAATGAAATTACAGTCGTTTAGCGGGGATGTTATTCCGATAAGAGGAGTTTGTCATCTTAAATGGTGGCATAAAAGTAAAATGTATGTTTTAAAATTCGCAATAGCAAATATTAATTGTGAAAGTGTGCTGGGTCGACAAGCGTGTTCGGAACTAGGGTTAATTCAACGGGTTTACGGCATTAATTTGGTAGAAAATTCGGATCTTTTTGAAGGCTTAGGATGCTTACCTGGTGAGTACCATATAGTTATTGATAAATCAGTTAAACCTGTAGTTTGTGCTCCGCGAAAAGTACCTCTAGGATTACGTGATAAATTATTAGAAGAATTAAACAGGATGACTGACTTAGGAGTCATTAGAAAGGTCACTCACCCAACACAATGGGTTATTCAATAGTAATTGCAGCAAAAAAGAACGGAACATTGCGAATTTGCTTAGACCCGAGACCTCTTAATAATGCTATACAGCGTGCACATTTCGAACTGCCAACCATTAAGGAACTTGCCACTAAAATTCACGGAACTAGTTTTTTTTCAGTATTAGACGCAAATTCAGGTTTTTGGGCAATAAAACTTGATGATCAGAGTTCAGACTTATGCACCTTTAGTACACCGTTTGGGCGCTATCAGTATTTAAGATTACCTTATGGGTTAAACTGCGCTTTAGAGGTGTTTCATGCTAAGATTAAGCAATTAATAGAGGATTTAGATGGAGTAGATTCTTTTATAGACGATATAATATGCTGGGGACGAAATAAAGATGAACATGATAGGCGTTTAAATGCATTATTAAATAGGGCTCGTGAAATTAATTTAAAATTTAATAAAGATAAATGTCGTATATTCGTTGAGGAAGTGACTTACTTGGGTCATATATTTAACAAAAACGGGATGAAACCAGATTTAGAAAAATTAAAAGCAATAAAAAATATGCCAACTCCAAAAGAACGAAAATCATTAGAACGATTTTTAGGAGCCGTAAATTATTTATCTAAGTTTATACCTAAGTATTCTGAGCGTATTTTTCCGCTTACTCGATTATTGAAAAAGGACACAGAATGGTGTTGGGAGAGTGAACAACAGAATGCGTTTGATTTATTAAAATATTTAATAAGCAAATCACCCGTGTTGGCTTTATATGACGTATCGCAACCGGCTGTAGTTTCGGTGGACGCGAGCAGTGTAGCGCTAGGAGCCGTGCTGTTGCAGGGCGGCCGACCTATTGAATATACTTCATGTACACTCACCGACACACAGACACGATATGCGCAGATAGAAAAAGAAATGCTAGCTATTCTCTTTGCGTGTGAAAAGTTCCACCAATATATTTACGGTAAAAGTGATGTTTTAATTGAAACAGATCATAAACCGTTAGAAAGATTTTTAAAAAGCCCTTAGAGTCGATACCAGCACGCTTACAACGAATGATTTTACGATTACAATGTTATGATTTGATAGTTACATATAAGCCTGGAAAATATATGTACTTGGCCGATACATTGTCACGTGCTCCTATTCCAGAACTATATAATGATAAAGTGAGTGATAATGTATTATGTCAAGTGCATATGATAGTTTCTAACATGCCCGTTTCACATAAAAAATTAAGTGTAATTAAAAATGAGACTTTGAAAGATAATAACTTAAAACTTTTAATGAGATATATAAATCAGGGTTGGCCGGAATATAAAAGAGACATTGAAGATAATTTAAAATATTATTGGTCAATGAGAGGAGATTTATTTTGTGTAGATGGCGTTATATTTAAAAACAAACAAATATTAATTCCCAGTTCCTTAAGAACCGAAATGTTAAAAATTATACATGATGGACATTTAGGGATAGACCGCTGTAAAAGGCGCGCACGTGAAGTGCTATTCTGGCCAGGGATTTCTTACGATATAGAGAGATATGTAAATAGGTGTGTAGTGTGTCGAGAGAATTCAAATAACTCGAGTAAGGAACCGATGATTGCTGTTTCTATTCCAAATTTACCATGGAGTAAAATCGGGACAGACATATTTCAGTATGGTAAAAAATCATATCTGATTATTGTGGACTATTATTCATGTTTTACGGAAGTAGCATTGTTACATGAAACTACTTCTAAAAGCGTCATAAACGTACTGAGAGAAAATTTTGCTAGGTATGGGATACCAGACATTGCAATAAGAGATAATGGTCCACAATTTTCAAGTCGGGAATTTAAAAACTTTGCGGTGGAGTGGGGATTTGAACACATAACGTCATCACCCAATTACGCACAATCAAATGGTAAGAGTGAAAGAGCCGTGCAAACAATAAAAAAGATATTAAAAAAATCCATAGATAGTGGAAGTGACTTTTATTTAAATTTGCTAAGTTATCGAAATACGCCTCGCGATAATTTGAATTCTCCCGCACAGCTGTTGATGGGTCGTAGGTTAAAATGCAGGCTACCTGTGCACCCAGACCTTTTAAAAATAGGACATGTAAATAATGAGAGTCAACACAAAGTTATGCTAGATAAACAAAATAAATACAAAATGTATTATGATTTACGTGCCAAGCCTTTACCTGTATTGGATGTTGGCGATAAGGTGACTATGATAGAAAAAAATAATTCTAAAATTCCAGGTCATATCATTGCAAAAGCAGCGACTCCCCGCTCATATTTTATTAAAACTAAAAGAGGAATGGTGTATCGCCGCAATCGCAGACATTTAATAAAAGATAAAACACAAGAAAATAGAACGTCAGCACAAATAGTACATGAGAATAAAGAACATAATTCAATGACAACAAAAACTACTTTTACGAGTAGTGAAAATGAGGAATATTCTTCGAACGATGAATATGAACCGACAATGTTAAATACTGAAGTAAATGAAAATTATTCTCCGCCTCTCACTCGAAGTAAAGTAAATAAAAACAAAAAATAACCAGTTTAATTAATCCTTTGTATTCAAAAAAAAAATGTACTTAAGTAAGTTTTTTATTCATGTCTTTCTTGGTAAGATTATTTAAAAATAGATCACTTTTGTTAAAAACTTATTCTTTAAGGGGAAGGTGTTGTGGGTAGTCTAAAAATATTATATATTAGGAAACCGCCTTTATTAATAAAGACAGTTGTCATCTGAACTCTGTTGTTTCATTGTCACTACAGTATGTGTATTTAACAGAGATGGTAGACATGATAAGGATATAGAACGACGAGTGAATACAGGAAATAGAGTGAATGGGGCTCTACACTCTGTTGTGAGAAGTCAGAATGTGCCCAAAAAGGCACGTATGGCAATTCATAATGCTGTGTTAGCCCCTTCTTTAATGTATGGTAGTGAAAGTTGGGTCTGGCAGAAGAAGCATGAGAGTAGAATAAATGCTGTAGAAATGCGGTCCTTAAGGAGTATGGAGGTCCTATTATTTCCAATTATTTTTTAACTAACTTTAAATTTTATAGAAAATTTAGTGCAGCGCTGTGAAAATTGTATTAAAATACGGGAGATTATATCTAAAAATAATTATAGTGGTTTGAGATTTATCATTCATTTGATTGTTCAGGCCAGAAACTTGGACCTATTATAGGCTGTAACTTTAACTTAACTTTAACGTTAAGCGAAGTGTCATATCGCGCTGCTCAGACGCGTGATATGCGCGCACTTTTTCTAAATAAAACAATATTATACGTATTATAAAATGACTGAAATGAAGATATATTATATTTTTACTATTTTATTTTTATTTGGATAATATTATAATATAAATATTTTAAGGACGATAAAAGTTGTAAAACCTGTTGTAGAAAGTACCCAACGAAAGAGAATTAAATTTTCCATTTTTGAGAACTCGTTGTCACTAATAAAATCATTTTGATATTTTCTTAGTAATTCTTATCAATAGTTTTATCATCATCACCATTACAGCTCTTTACGTTGATCTATGGCGAACTAGCTAACTGATCTATTTGGCTATGTCGATTACTCTTGTTCTGCTGAAGATAAAAGTTACGGGTTCTATCACGGCGAAAAACTCCAAGAATATCCCTCTCCATAGCATGCTGAGCAACCTTAAGCTTCCTCATTGTGAACAGCGGTTAAGAACTACGTCATGAAAATTTTTGGAACGAATTTACTTATCAGACGTTGCGAATTTGATGGATGGGGGCTAGGCAAGAAAAAGTTTAATATATTTCCTTCACGACCCCTTTTGACGTAGTGTAGAGCGCCTTGGCGGCTATAAGGAAGCGAGATAGAATAATATCCATCTCACTCGCACTATTTATTATCTTGCAATGAAGATCATTTTATTTTATTTTAAATGACGCTTCATTTTAGTAGAAGCTAGTAATTCATTTATTTGTATTTGTGAATCAATAATATAATACGTTCATCAATGATAATATACTACGAAAGGACCTTCGTTCCAACCGAGAAGTCTGTGGATTACTCGGTTGGAACGAAGAAAATTGGTTGGAGAAGTTGTGTCGTGACACACACGTTATCTTTTTAAATTTCACTGGTATTATACTCTTGTAAGTTTTTATATTATAACTATTAGAATCAGGCGTTACTTTGTGGCAACCCATTATATTAAATATTTTAAAATTAACTGTCTGAGATCAGCGTAATAAAATAAAATGATGTGTGTTACGTAGTTTGAAGAGCACCTCCCGTCCTTCTTCAATTGCGTGCACTTTCACTGTCAACACTAATCCCAGTAACTCCCAACACCACTACACTAAGAAAGACATACCATCGTCGATAATACGACACATGTTTCGCCTCTACACGAGGCATCCTCAGGTGAAGTAAACTCTGCGGTTGCTGATAGCTAAGTAAGCGGCGAGTTACTATTTATGCAACTCGCTGATGCAACCGCTCCCTACTTAAGTAGCTATATTATTTTTGTTAGGTTGAAATATTTTAAAACTTTAGAAAAATGTGTCAGTCGAAAATAACCATTTTAGATTTACGTTAATCCATTACTATGGTTGTAATTTTTCTAATAAATGTAATAAACAATTAAATAATCAAACATTTGGAGAAAAATAAAAAGTGAAAAGTGAAACCGGCTGATCACTTTTTAACTTCTCTTCCGACATTTTCTTAACTTAACTGAAATAGAAGTACATTGGTTACTTTTATCTTTAGATTCTCCAAAAAAAAAACAAATCAAGCCATAATTCTTATTTTATCACAACCAAAGCGGAAAAATCTTTAATCATACTTATAAAGAACTCTTAGAAACTGACTAAGTAAAACAGCGGTTAGAAAGATTAAATGGAGCGGAATATTTTTGTATGAGATCCTCAATTACTGGAAATGGATGTAAGGGATTACTTTGTAAGGGTCAATCTTTGTAAGCGAAGGCGGATTCACCATTAGCCTTCTGACCGGTCCCAAAGGTAATACTCGAGAT